AGGTATAGATTTATCAATTACACGTGTACATTACAAAAGAGCAAATTACAATGTTGAATTAATCGTATAATTATAATCATTTTCACATTTGAACATTTTAAATAGGGAACAAAAGCGCCACAGTATGTCCCGGGTAATATCGATAAACTCGCCAGTATGCATCCCGATAATTACTGGCAATTTCATGCGGAAAGCAACACCGGAATGATAAATTATATTAACGTTCAATATCCACTTCAATTGATCAATGTCGATGTGCGAGATCAGGGTAATTATCTTAATTTAATTTAATCAACTTTTGTTTATAAGACTATAAGTCAAGATCTAACTTATTTATTACACGTTTTATTTAAGGTCCTATCACTGGAATGACTTTGTCCCCAGATGGAACAATGCTCGTAACATTTTGTAATGTAGGGGCTGCAAGAATTTGGGATACAAGAGAGTTCAAATTGATTCAAAAATTAAGGGACACCGAGGTATATATAATTGTTGATGTTTTATTTATAAAGAAGTAATGTAACATCGTACTTAATATAAATTTTCTTTTAGGAAAAGAATATAGATGAATTTTTCGTCGGGAAATTCATTCACGACCAAACGCGTCTTGTTGTTGGTGGCAAATTGAAAGATCGGAACCGATGGTCTGAGGAAGATGACGATAATCACATTTTACCGTGTCCTTTAAAGGTATATATTGATTATGCTATATGATACGTTAATTATATTGTAAGTTTAATGACATACCTAACGTTTTCAAATAGATTTTTGATACCATCTCTGGAAAAGTTATCGTAAGACTTGAAGGACATTCCGAAGAAGTTTTATGTATAAAGAATATTTTGTATAAGGGAGAACCCTATTTTCTAACTACCAGTCAGGATGGTTATATTATCAAATGGAAATTACAAGATGATTGGACGTGAGTAATGATCAAATTTCATTGAATATTTACGCATAGATACTAACAATTCATGATATTTCTTAATAGAACTCTCATCAATAAAACGCGAATGGAAGACGGTATTACGTGCATGGCATTCACTGTTTCATTTGTTCCAAATACTGGAAACAGATATTTTATGGCTGCAACAGATGAACATGTTCGATTGTATGATTTTGATGCAGCACAGGTATCAAAAATTATTACACTATAAGCGAGTGCTTTCTATTATATTAGATATATCCTAAAGAAAACAAATTGCATTTGTTTAAAGCTTGTACAAACATTTTCCGGAAATATGTATTCCCAATATTGTGACTGCGCCAAATTTATATATCCCGTTGAACCGTTGGAAGAAGATTCAGATTATAACGATAACGTACAAGAAAGTAGCAGTAAAGCTACAAAGAAACCATTGAAACCAAAATTTGCTTATCTTATTACGCGTGGTGTAGAAATTTTGGACGCAGAAGGTGGTAAAATAGGTAAATAATAATAGTTGGACTTTATAATTTTGATAACCATTTTGACTAATTTGTTTTAAACCAAATAAAATGTAAATTAATAGCATCAAGAGTTAACGTTTGTATTTTACACAAGTTAATTTTTCCAACGAAAAAGGGTGGATCGTTTACACTTGAAGAAATAAGAAGATATTATCACAAAGAGTAAGAAATTTTTATTTCATTTTTATTTTTTTTTTTAAAAGTAAAAAAAAACAAGTTTATATCTAATTTAATCAACTTAATTCATATACAGTTATCATTCTAATTCATGGCTCATAAAGATATCTTCAAATGGACGATATATTGCTGCACCGACTATGGATGGTGGAGTATTTATATTCAATTTAAGAACTGGACAAGTTACAAGTATATTAAGAGATTATGATGGTGAGTAATATATCCATTAATTTGGTAATAATAATAATATTTTTTTTTTCCACCTTTTAATTGAGAATTTTAAAAACAAATTTATTTTATAGACTTGGAAGTGAGAGATGTAATTTTTCACCCATGGAAACCATTATTATTTACTTGTGCAGATGGTAGGTAAAAAATCAATGAATTATTAAATTATGAATAACTAATAATTAGGCGTTCTTAAATTCTTTTTATAGATGGTTGTGTTAAAATATACACATATAGTTTTCTTGAAAATAATGAATCCAAAGACGTCGAAATTGAAAAGGAAGATTAATTAAACATTATTAAATATATTTACATAATAAAATTTTATTTGGTTTAGAACTGTAGGATTTATTATTATTATTATTTCTTTTTTTTATAATTTATAAATATAATAAAAATATAATAAATTCATATATTAAATACGTTTCACAAAATGTTTTTTAGTAGTTCATTATATATTTCATTGATATTTAGCTATTTTAAAGTGATTTTTTTTATTGGAGAAAGATATGTTTAATAATAGGATCAGCAAAGTGCATGGAATTCAAGTTATCTCGTTTTTTAATATCCAATTTTATAAAAAGAACTTGTGATTACTGGAAATATTAGTTGACTTTAAATTACAGTAATAAGTATAATTAAATACTGATAATCAATAAAAAATAACTTACCACTAATAAAATTTATTTTTTTTAAATAAAAAATTTAGTTGACTTTAAATTAAAATTATCTTATCGTTTCCGTCATCAATAATGTTAGAGTTTGATGATTGAAAAATTAAAATTTTTTCGTTTATTGGATTCAAAAAAAATTTTTTTTTATTTTTTTTACAACTTTAATGTAACAATATGCTAATTTACCTAAGTTCTAAATGAGATATTATACAGGACCGAAAAATTACTTTGGGTATTTAAAAATTTGAAATCAATTCTAAACGTTGAGTGAAATAAGTACAATATTATCTCATACAGACTGCTCAAATTGCGAGAAACTTTTGCCAAAATGTTGGATCAAATAATATCCTATTAAATCGCCTTAATATGAATATTTTTACGCGACAATCTTTGGGTAGTTTTTAACACAATTTTCCTCAAATGAGACAACAAAATCTACACTTATTTATTCATCATCATCTCCTTGCTTTAATTTTCTTAATTCTTCTTGGATCTGTTCTAATTTATTTAATTTCTCCTCTTCTTCTTCATGTAATGATTCGTCACGTGCTTTCTTCTCTTTAAGTCTCTCAATCTGTCTAATTTTCTTTTCAAGAGCTTTGATTTTCTTTGTAGTATTTTCCAACTGTTCTATAGTTATAGTAGTCTTTTCTTCAGGTTCTGCAATAAACTCAATGCTTTTATTAATTGACAGTTCAAACATTTTATTTTGTATTTGACCTAACAATTCGTTGTTAAGATCACCCTCTTTTTCACCCTCTTTATCTCGCTCTTTTTTTTTAAGACTTCGTTTTTCATTCTTTTTTTGAGCCTTCATTTTAGGTAAATCAGGTTTTGGTGGTGGTGGTGGTGGTGGTGTTGTTTCTGCTACCCATCGATTCTTATACTTAGCTACGTCTTCTTGAGGAACAAACCCTGGCCGTACTCGTCGTTCCTTTCGAACTGTGCCATCTGCTCGTAAGGTTGCTGGTATAACGCGTTCGTTGTTATCAGTCGTTACAATTCCTGAGGGTTTAGGTGCAGGACGGTCAATTTTTTTAAAAGACATTTTTGTTATTTCAATTTCAAAGGTCTAGCCATGTGGGGGGTTTATAATAAAATCAGGGTCATGATTAATTTATATTGTGCTACGTAAATCGAGTTGTAATTAGTTTTTTTTTTTTCCCTTAAAAAAAGACTTCTCGGTGAAAATAAAGAGTTAAGCAAATAGTCGTCATCGATATCCATAACAATGGATACGTTGAAAGATGTACCAGAGTTTTTCGAAACGCAGCTTGATGAGTCTTTAGCCGCCAGGACCGAAAGTTTAGGTACTGTTCAGAAATCTTTCATAATGGCACAACTTTCATAGTGGCTTTGTTTTCTTTGAATTCTTTTTTTTTTTTTTTTTTGTTTGAATATCTCGTATGTCGGTTATTAAAAATTTATTTCATTATTTTAGGCTCTTTTCGTGAACTTGGTCCTCCTGACCTATGTCATGTTACGAAAGCTAATGCAAAACCCGGTGTAAAGGAGGTGAATTTTATTCTTGGTATAACTATCGCGTCATTTTGGTGGATACTATCCGGTTTAATTAATCTATAGGCCTAATGCATAATTTTGTTTTTGCATTAGGTTGGTTCTTACCATTATGTTTCTGGGGTTGATGCCTCTTCTTCCGCCACTTTAGCTGCATATCTTAATTCATTAACATACGCATTGGTAACTACAACCTTATTTATTCATACCAGACTTATTCGCAATTTAATAACGACTTATTATCTTTTTAGGAAGATAACCATGCTTGGTTTACTAAATCATCGGCTTGGAGAATACGATCTGGAGTTTATTGGTATATCTCGAATATATTAATTTTTTTTTTTTTTTTTTTATTTTTCAGTGACAGTTTAAAATTATTTCCCCCCTAGTTGTTTTAATGCGTTTTCACGTGTGGATGTCCGTGTAGAAGTCAAAATTCCTGGTGGAGTGGAAAGTTATATCGTGGATTTACGTGGCGAAAAGTACGTTGTGTAATTATTTATGTTTATTACGTTTGGTTTCCCATAATTCATCCTTTTTAATTGTAATTCAGACATGATGCAACTTCAGATATTTGGCAAGAGACCTATATTTCTGCTCTTTTACGCTCTATACTTTACTCAGACGATGTCAATTATCGATTGGCTGGTTTCCGCAAATTGGATCCCATCCCTAACGTCGAAGCAGAAGCTCATTTCTTGGAGGCAGCGGAGCAACTTTTCTTTAAAGGTAAAATCATGAAAATAAGATCATTTCGTTGATTACACATATGACTAAAAAAAAATCTTTTATATTTAGGATGGCAATTGGGTTCTGATCCTGAAATACAAGTTGCCACAGTTGTCAGTAATCATTTAACTGCTGGCATCATGAAATATTTTAGTGAAAATTTTAGATATGAACGAGCAGTGAATTTATTTGAAAAATATATCCTTTAATATCGGAACGCGTTGTTTAAATTTAACACATATTAAAGCTTATGTCCCTTAACTCATTATTACTGTATCATAAAGACCCTGAAGTAGCGTCGTTGTTAGCTCAGTCATATATTGGAATGGGTAAATATTATTGATTACTTATTTTAAAAGTGATTAACATAATAGATGGAGATTAAATAACAAAATTATTTAGCTGACATTTGTTCATTTCAGATGAGGAAATAAAGGCGGTTAAAAAGTTATATGAGGCCTTAAAGAAAAACCCAATGAGTTACGCACTTTTACATGTTCAAGCGGATTTCTTATTAAGCAAGGTTTATATTACTTGTATATAAAAAACAAAAAAAAACTTCACCAATTTAAAAAAAGTTTATTAAATTTATATATTTGCGTTTTAGGGTAGAACTGATTATGCGCTTAAACTTGCAAAACAAGCGGTAAATTGTGCACCTTCAGAGTTTGTAACTTGGGCGAAATTAACAGAAGTTTACATTGAGCTCAGAGATTATGAATCGGTAATAATATAATTACTTTCATTCTAATATACATACACAATAATCTTTTTTGAAATTAATGAAAATTTTATTGATTTTAAAGGCTCTATTGACATTGAATTCTTGCCCGATGTTCACATATAATGAAAGAGATATGCATCGTATGCCATCACCAGCAAAGACACATCTTCCAATCAAACAAGATATCATTAATGCAGGACTCCTTGATGATGACAACGGGCGCGATAATGAAGTAATGAATAACTCTAGTTTATTGAATTAACTTATTGAGAAAACCCGATTTAAACATATTTCATTTGTCTTTTTATGAAGGCGGATGTCGCGCTTTTACGTCTTCCTGCGCCATCCCTTCGTGGAACTTTTGCTAAAGCATATTCATTGTTGACAAGTTTAGTAGCGAAGATCGGATGGGATGAACTATTAAAGTGTCGATCATCTGTTTTTGTAATGGAAGAAGAATACCGTATGCAGAAGGCGGCGGAAGAAGAGAGGAAAATTCAAAACACAGTTATCGATCTTCCACCGTCTCCTCAAGAACAAGAAAATAATACGGATGTTGTCGCAAACGCAAATGCCAATGATGTAAATGATTCAAAAGATTCATCACAGTCTGTGCCTGCAATCACTATATCTAGGGATTCAACCGTTGATGGTTCAGAGGATACGAAAGAAAAAAAAGTAGAAAATACACATGAGGGAGACCGTGAAACGACCAACGGCCGAGAGGTAAAGGATGATGACATAAATGAAAAAGAAAATTCCAACCTGAATGCTGTTGATGAGCGTTCACTTGACTCTGAAAATATGGAGGAAGTTAATTTAGATGACGAGAAATCTAATTCAAACAATAAAACTAGGACAGCTCCAGTAATAGAATTTAAGGGTCCTAAATTAGAAAAGCCTTTACAAGCAGCCAACGAGGAAAAAAATGATAATCAAAGTATACATGATGAACAATCCAAGGTAAAAAAAAAAAGGGCACAAAATATATTACTTGCAGTCTTTTATAAAATCGCTTTTATATTATAGGATGTTTCAACAAAGAAAGATTATTCATTCTCATTTAATAATAAAAGATTGTGCGAAAGGTTCGTAGTAAGTTTATATTAATAATTATATTATAGACTCAATATTTACATCATCTTTTTAGGTGGCTTGATAATCTTTTTATGGTCTTATATGAGGTATTATTTGACTTTTTTGTTTTCAACGTTTGCTTATAATTGTCGTGATGTTGAAAGTTGTTTATTTATTTAATAGGATTTAAGAGTATATACTGTTTGGCGTTCCGAAGTTTCTCATTATAAAGCCCATCACATGTCTTATCGTAAAACGGGTACAGAATGGGAAATTTTAGGTGATTTGGCCGCGCGATTGCATCATAAGGTAGGTTTGTTTTACCGTGTTAAATATCTATAACTCTTAATCATTTATTTTAATTATTTTAATTTCAATATTTACAATTTAAAGGATGATGCAAAAGAGGCTTATCAACGTTGTCTTGAACATAAATTCTCAGCAAAGGCTTGGTTGAGATTATTGGAATTCTATGCGGACGAAGGTGACGTACATCGTGCTTTATCGGCTGTTGTAAAATTAACGGTTTACCACGAGCGATGGTACCACGAGATAGTTGTAAGTTAATTTAAACTTGGCAAGTTTCTTGATCCAAAGTTAAACATCATTAACTTTTCTCCTTAAACGTATTAATTAGTACCCAACGGCAATCGCTCATAATCTTAATAAATTAATTCGATCCGAAGGTTTATCAAAAGTTAGATATAACTTAATTTCAATGAATTTATCACCTTCGGTAGACAAATTAGTAACAAGATATCTGGATTTTGCTAAAACTTTTAAAATCCCTGGATCTAATTTCTAAGGATTTTATAATATTATTTAATTTATTTGTGGGTAATAATATTAAAATTGGTTTTATTTTATACTATAATAAAAATTTACCAATTATTATTATTAGAACCAGAATGGTAAAAAATTATGGGAGGTTTTTTTGGTTCTTTTAATTATAGACTAAAAATAAACGTTACTATAGTGTATTACTATATATAAATTAATTTGATAATTTTGGTAATAATAGTATTGAAATAAATGAAATAAATTATGTTTTAATAAACAATAAAATATACTTTTTTTTTTTTTTTTTAAGCTGATATAACTTAATAAAAAAAAAAAATGAATAACATGTTTAAATTTTATAATAAATACAAAAGAAATGTCCGTTAATATAATTTTTGTTTAAAAAAAATCATTTTAATTATAATACTAAGAATTCAAAGGCCACTTCTTTTTGCCATACGCCAACAGTTTTTACTAGATACAAAGCAGGACCCAATAGACATAAAGCAAGTGGTATAGAAATAGTTACAGCCAAAATCGTTATAATAAAAGTAATAACACTCAAGAAAGATTTAATCATCATAAAATATACAAGACATCTCCAAGTATACGCATCTGTCATATAACTAAATGATGAATTAAACCAACCTCGGGACTCTAAAGAAGTTGTAGTAGTAGGTAAAGTTGGGGGATTTTCTAAAGAAAATACTGGTGGATATGCTTGATACCCTAAGTTACGAAATAATCGCGGTTGTCCACCGCATAATTGTTGAGTGACAAGTTCTATTCGACCAAGCATCCTTTTAAAATAAAGTATGAAAATTGTTTGCATATAAAAATTTGGCAAAAAAAAAAAAAAGATTAAAAGAATTTTCTATTTACCTATAAGATGCGGCGGTTATTAAACACATAACATACCCTAATGGTGGTAATATTAAAGTAGTAAAGCACATTATGCTCGTTGTTATTGTCCATATAAAACAAAATATTCCGAATGGTAAAGAAAACAAAGTTAAATAGATTAAACAGCCCCAGGTAGATATTTCACAAGGTGCTGTACAGCAACAATCATCCTCATTATCGATGATTTGTCGTGTCGCAGCGCGTTGTGAAGAATAGTCGCGTACTATAGGCCTCCCTGAACGATTATGAAGAAGAAAAGGATAAGTTTCATATATAGGAGAGTGCACAGGAGGAAAATATGTTGAAGGTAGTAAAGG